ACAGGATATTTCTAGAAACAGGTGGCGTGATACTAGTCACGTGACCTCGATGACGCAACAATACATTCCCCACTCGCTTGAATTACACAAGGCGACTGCTTGTAGTCTGAAAATATATCCTACAGCTGGACAGCTGGTAAGTCTTCGGATTTACAACACTAAGATCAGGGGTTCAACTCCCCTCGGTGGATACAGCAGATAACCCGATGTGACTTTATTACAACTAAACACGCATTGAAAATATTTTCTTCTACGTACAAAATAAAGCGAATCACGTATACGTGTATAAAGAAACAGCCAACACCATGTTTTAATAGTTATCAGGGTTACTTCAAATTATTCAGTTTATTTTAACTTACAACATTCAAATCATTGGTCAGAACATTTTATACTGTTTTGAAAAATTGGTATTTTACACACTTTAACTTGTGGCATCATTAAAACAAACAAACAAACAAAAAGAACTGTGATCTCATTATTGGACCTGTAGTCTTGACTGGTGATCAAAACAATATTTCTAGAGCAGACTTTTGTAGCTTATGTTAATCTGTTAAATTCTGTACATCAAATTTTGACCAAAATTATTCTGGGCTGCTTGAAAATTCCGGTTTCTACTACAATTTGACTGTGAAAATCATGTTTACTAATGACAGTAACATTATAACGTCCCCACGGCTGAAAGGGCGAGCATGTTTCGTGTAATGGGGACTCGAACCCACGACCCGCAGATTGCGAGTCGAGCGTCCTAACCGCCTGGCCATGCCTATCCAGAATGTACTTGAATATTGTTTATTTAGGCCTAACAAATTTTCAAGTTTAGAGGAAAAGACTATTTATAATTTTTAATCTATCGTAGCATCTTTAGGATAAGACACATAAACTAGGTTCAAAATAAAATCATTTCTACTTTGAGTCTAACTTGGTAAAAGACAGAGTCGATTGTGCAGAAAATGGAAAAGGTTTATCTAAGACAACAAAATGAAAATTAAACTATAATCTAAAATGCATGATTTTAATTGAGAAAAATATGAAATAGCTATTGTAAATTATTACAATGGCTGTTAAGTTTAAATCAATCAAATAGTACCTAAGTTAATTAAACAAAACAAAAAGAAATACATTACAAACAAAAATTAAATCTCACCAACATTGTATACTTAAAACAACTAAAATAATTAAAACTAGTCTAGTTTAGTAGTGTTTAAATTACTGTAGAAAAACTCAAAGTGGAAGTCAAACGAAAAAAAAGATTTACATGCTAAATCAGACAATGTACTGTATATTTCACTAATGGAAGATAAGTGGGAATAGAAAAACAAATACATCTTTGTTCCTGGGCGTTCACATAAGAAGCTTTTTGTCATGTTTTTAGCATCTAATTAAGTAACTCGACTACGCAATTAATATTTTTCTGAGTAGTTTGATTGGCCTAATTGAAATAAAGTGAGTTTGTTTTTATAAAGAGTGTAAGTAAATAAATAGAAGGTTTTTTTAAAACCAGGATAGCAGAAAAGAAAAAAAACACAATAGAGGTCAGGTTTTAAAATATGTGAACAGGTTCGACAACTAAATTTGGATAATTTTATTTTCAGTTAACTTTCGACAGAAAGATATACGAAAATGACTACAATGGATAAACTACTCTCATCCAGACATAGCAAGTGGCACGAAGTGCTCTTCAGATTTAAGTCAATCGAAAGTTCTCAGTACTCACT